GGGGGAAGGGAGGGAGGGAGGAGGGAGGGAGGGAGGGAGGGAGGGAGGTAGGGTGCACCTCGCCACGCCGCGCGAACTCGCCTCTTTTTCTCGCCTCTTTACTTTTGGGGCCGTGTGTGAAAGGAACTCTCCACATCTTCAGGCACAACTCCGCAGGCACACACACACACACACAGAGAGAGAGAGAGAGAGAGAGAGAGAGAGAGAGAGAGAGAGAGAGAGAGAGAGAGAGAGAGCACTTTCGGTCGCCCGTTTGGACGTAGCTCCACTCCGCTTCGCCTGCCTATTCCATACTTGGCAGCGCCTTTCTCTCCACGGAAAATCCCGATAACGGTGCCCGAAGCCCATGTGCCTACTACAGCTCAGTTGGCACATCAATGAACTTTTGAAAACCTCGTTCGAAGCCCTCCCTGATTATATGGGGCGCCTCGGATAGACCCTGCCGCGAACGGATTGAAAACCTAAGAGAGACTAAGAGGCTGATCCCACCTCTATTCTTTTTGGCGAGAAACGGCCTTTTTTGGGATCCCACCTCTTTCCGCGAGAGACGGAGAGGGCCCTCTTTTATCGCTGATGTGGAAACGGAAGTGGACGTGTCGAGCCGGCCGCGTTCGCAGGCCAGAAAGTTCTTTTGAAAACGCGAAGGGAGACGACCCCGTCTTTTCCCCGAAAAAGAAGGCGGGGTTTTCCTTCCCCTTTTTTTTGTTTGTACATGGAAAACCCCTTTTTTTGTTTGTACATGTCCGCGAGAGGCACTTGGAATGTCCGCCTGGCCACAAAGTTGCGCTACCCCAGTGCCATGCGGCCTGCCGATGTCCCACCACACAGGCAGACGGGGCCCGGTCGCCGAAAATTCCAGCTGCTGAGTCGAAGAGGGCTGGTCGGTCCGGTATGCCTGTGTGATTGCACACCTTGCGGCCGTGGGAGGACCTGATGTTGGTATTCGGCAGTTCCCATCCCGTGTGCACCCACGCCCTGGCAGTGCGCGTTCCCTCTTCGCGCGGAGCTGGCGGCCAAAGCAATGGTAGCTCCCCCTCCATCTCCCACCATCACCTATCGGTAATAGCTCGACGCTGTCCGCCGTTTTGCAAGTCTTCGTAGTCGGTCGCATTCCGTGGGGCATACGGTGGCGCTTGCTGTCGACATCGCCGGCAGTCTCCCGCCATCTCCCGCCATTTTGCCACGTGGCGTCTTTCTGCATCCACATCCATTCGTCCGCATTTCGCCACGTGGCCGTTCATCTGCTAGAGGGGTGCAAGTTGCATTTTCCGCCATTTGTCGGATCGATCCGTCGCATTCCTCCACGTGGCATGTTTCCGGACTGCCAATGCTATTCCCACCTCTGTYCVCCACGTCGCCATTCATGTGATACACCACGAAAGTTGCATTTTCCGCCATTTGTAGGATCGATCCGTCGCATTCCTCTACGTGGCATTTTTCCGCAGTGTACATAGCCGCAAACTCTCTTCCTTGGCTTTGGCATTCTTCACAACTTGTATACAGTGGAGGCCATCGTCGGCGGCTCATCGAGCAGGCTACGTCTGCTGACAGCGTCCGTAAAAGGTATGGATCACTCTAGACTACTTGTGCATAGACGATCACCATCTCCTTCGCCTGCTCCCATGGACACGGGCTTCGTGGAAGTAATGCCATCCAGTGTCGGCATTGGCAGTCCGGGTTTCCAAGGTTTCTTAGCAGGTGCAGGACCTGCGGGTGTGGCACGCGTTGCCACGTCACTGCCGACAGGCTTGCCACCATTGCCGAATTTCAAGCATTTGCACGCTCCGGTGTACAGTCCCGGGAAAGAGCCACGAAGTATGACCTCTCTCCTTTTGGAGCACCGCGATGTGGAGTAGCAGGGAGATCGGATGCAGACGTTCAAACAACGTATCCAAACTGGGGGGTGGGACGTGACTGTGGGTTTGCACGTGACGGGTTCAGGATGGGGGCGAACGGGGAGCGGCCACAAAGCGGTCCTCCACCGGTGGGTGCGCATTCCATGTCGGGAGGGGTGGGTGGGGGTTCACCAAACACGTACACACCGATGGAGGGTCGGACCTCACCGTCTGTTGCACACTCCCCACCGACCACCAATCACATTCGCCCACAAAACTTGTACTCTTCAGACCCCGGTGTCAACCGTGGTGCCGCTTCTATGCTTGGCCCGCATGCCAACGTCTACAACTCTGATGTCCCCATGCCCAACCATTCTCGTGATTCGAGTGTAGAGGAGCCCGTCATCGATGGGGCGTTTGGTGGCGCTTTCACCGAACCTGCGATGGATATCGCTGGGACACAAAGTGGAAGACCTGCGAGTGTCGAGGTCGCAGACGACGAAGGCGGTGCGCACTGCTGCGATGCAACTCCGCCAGCGGGAAGTGGAAAAAGGGCCGTCAGGGAGGAGGGGGGGAGTCGCGGGGGACAGAGCAAGGCGAAGGCGAAAGAGCGGATGTCGGAGTGGACAGACAAGGAGAGCATGGCGCTTGTGAGGCTGCTCTTCGAAGAGGACTGCGCACAACAAAGCAGGCGAGGGAGGCAGAAGATCAGGAGTAGACGGGAGAAGTACGACAGGATAATAGGGAAAATGGTTGAGCAAGGCTTTCCAAAATGTGACATGGAGGACTGCGAGGCAAAGTACTACGCCCTCCTTGACAAAGCAAAAAAAATCCGGGATTACAACGGCGAATCAGGGAAGCCGAGCTATTGGGACATGTCGCGTTCGGAGAAAAAGGAGAATGGCCTTCCGTTGACATACGAAAAACACATGTTTGACGCTCTGCAATGGAAGCTTGGGAAGGCGGACGGTTCGTGCGAGGACTTGATGCAAAGTGTTAATCTGCAGAGAGGGCAGACGAGCACGATCACAGATGATGAAGACACTGGCGGCACTAGTGAGAATGAAGGGGGTCGACGAAAAGCGGATACTGACAGCGCTGAGGGTTACAAGTCCCGACGGACCGCGGGTGTGAGCGGCCACAAACGGCGTTCCGCGGCAGAGAGTTCGAGTGACGCTTCAAGGGGAGGTTCGTTCGCAGACATTGCACATGCTCTTGTCGACGCGAACGACCGTCAGGCGGAGAGGATCGCGGGGAGTTTTGCACAGGCCATGGACGGAATGAACAAGACCATGGCCGAGGGTAACCAAACACTGTTGCAATGCTTCGCTATGCTTTCAAATGCGATGGTGGGACAACCGCCATCTGTTCCTCCAGGGGGCGGGACACATTGCGAACGTGGCAGTCGCCAGGAAGATGGCCGTTGATCACATGCTTGGAGCACACGAAATGATCGGCTGCATGTCCGAGACGTGCACTTCTTTTGAAATGTTTTTTTTTTTTTCCAATTTTTTTTTTCCGGTCAGCACTCCGTACGGGTGCAGGACAGCGGCGGTGCAATCTGACCAAAGTCCGTATGCGTGTGCGATTCCTCATGGCTTTCTTGCAGGATTCATGAAAGAGAGCGCGCACGACACTTGGAAAAATGTCGTCTTCTCCGATGCGCGGTGTTGGCGAGGTTGTGGACATGGCCGGAGATTTCGCGTTGACCCACAGGCGGCTTATCGAGCAAGCGCATGAGCTGGCCTGTAAGCGCGGGGTGCTGTTCACTCGCGTATCGGCTATGGTGGAGGAGCTCCAGCGTGTGCAGGGTGAGATGGAGAAGGCGAACATGAGAGAGGGGCTTCCCATGTCGAGAGCCGAAGCTGCGGAGCGACAAGTTGCTTCTCTGAGGGAGGAAGTGGCCCGCCTGCAACACCAATTGTCACTTTACGAAGGGGGCTCCGACCATACCCCTTTAAAGCCCGATAGTTTTATCACAACTTTGCAGAACCCTGACCGCATGCGAGGTGGAACCGTCGCCAGTGGGACAGTGTCGAGTGGGTCACATGCGACGTGACTCTAGTGTGCGCACACCTCCGCATCGGCGGGTGCCCGCCGAGGCGAGATCACCTTCATCGCTGCCCGTAGTGTCGCCGGACATGAACCGTCGTGACGTCACGGCGGTCGCTGAACAGTTGAGGAGAAGTATGTGTATGGAGGGCGATTCCCTGAGTGGGCATAGGTAGATGTGTGTTGCAGGTTAGCATTTCAAAGTTGCACACCGCCGGTTGCAGGCTGTTTTTTTTTTTTTTTTTTTTTTTTTTTTTTTACGCGGCAAAAATGTGTCAGTTGCTTTCTTGACCCCGGCTATGGCTGAACAGGTCCTTTTTTTGGTTTCCGTAGTCGGGTGAGCGGGTGGGATGATCTCACCTGCAGTTGCGTGCGTCGTCAGCATAGTCTTTTTTTACAGGTCTGAAGGAGGCTTCCTTGTGTTTTTTTGGCCAAGAACAAAATGCAAGACTGTTTTTTTTTTTCCAGTGTGGACCAATGCCATCTTCCATGTTTTGCAATGGGTTCTTCGGTGGCCATGTGCGAGGGCATGTGAAGTGTTCGTATGTGTTTGGACAAACTTTCGTAAATGACGAATCTCAAAATTTTATTTATAGTTCTGTGCCCATCAGCATGTTTGATATTTCTAGGAACGTGACCTTTTTTTCGAATGTATCATCTTTTTTGGTAAACGATGCCATTTTTTGACCATCAGCTTGTTTGAATGTATCAGCTTTCTTTCGAATGTTTCACCTTTCCCTGCAGCATATTGCAGTTGAGTGAAGCGACATGTAAGCATTGATTGATCTTGTACATGGGGCAGCATAACATTTGTAGCCGTCACGAACTAAAAAAAAAATAAAGATTGGAGAAGACAAAAAAAAAAAAAAAAAAAAAAAAAAAAAAAAAAAAAAAAAAAAAAAAAAAAAAAAAAAAAAAAACCCACTTCCAAGCACACCTGCAAACTGTCATTCGAAATCCAACAACTGGTCCATGATCATAGTAGGCAATGTTCGCTGACAAAAACATGCATCCCTTTCATCGAAGCGTATGAAAACTTCTCCACAATGTCGAATTGGATCATGTAAAGTTTTGTACTTGTTACCAAAAAAAAAGGCCAATTGCTT